TTAGATTTACTTGCTGTTAAATCTTTCTTGTTGAGGCATAATGAATGAAAGATAGGACCCATTTAGTTTGTTGATTCGAGCTGATATGTAATTTTACTGTAGTAAAAAAGTTAGATGTAACTGTTTCTGAAAATTTTTTACTGTAACAAAACTCGAATTCTAAACTCAAATCGGTAAAATGAACGGATCCTGCCTAATTCTATATTTGGTGGGGAGGATAGAAAATATGGGGGGGAGAACAGTTTTCTCTTACTGCACTCGGTATGCTTCCCCCCCATCTACATCCCCCAACTCCGATTGGATCAAAATTATGGTTAGGGGGATGATTTTGAATCCTGACTGATTTTCTTCCCTCCACTTATCCCTACTACCAAACAATCACATATTCCAAAATATAACCATCAATACTTTGAATTCTCTCCCTCCTTCCAATTTTCCCTCCGACCAAACAAGGCCTAAAAGAAAAGGTTTCATACACTGAACTCTGAATCTAATCATCACCGCAGATTCGCAAGAGTAATATCCGATTCCAAGTAACCAGTGCGGATAAAACTCCATTAGAAGATGCTCAAGTGTCTATCAAGCAAACCAAGTCAGACTTCCCTTTTGGATGCGGTATGAACTACCATATCCTCCAAAGTACTGACTATCAAAACTGGTTCTCATCAAGATTCAAAGCTACCACTTTCACCAATGAGATGAAGTGGTACAGCACTGAGAAAGGGCAGGGCGAAGAAAACTACACCATAGCAGATGCCATGATGGAATTTGCCCAAAGCAATGGCATTCGCGTTAGAGGCCACAACGTGTTCTGGGACAATCCAGAGTACCAGCCTTCCTGGGTCAAATCCCTTTCCACTGATGAACTGCGAAGCGCAGCAGCAAAGAGAATCAGTTCGGTAGTTTCTAGATACAGTGGAAAGCTAATTGGTTGGGATGTTGTGAATGAGAATCTTCATTTCAGCTTCTTTGAGGATAAGCTCAGTCAAAATGCTTCTGCAGAGTTCTATCATATAGCTCAACAGCTTGATCCAAACACAACCATGTTCTTGAATGAGTATAACACCATAGAATATAGCGATGACGAGGCCTCAAGCCCACTTAACTACCACAAGAAACTTGTGGAGATCTTGTCATTCCCTGGAAATGTCAG